TCTCGGCTGTATCCTGTACAGTATATGCCCTGTCACAGGACATACTACCAAGTGGACAAACAAGGCTCATTACTTCACTGCATCCTCCTTGGCAAGCTTAGGGTGCTTACGCTTCTTCCTGCCTCCCATCAGCTTCTCAGACACAGCTACTGCTTCCTAATAACAAGGAACCATGGGGATAACATGAAAGCAGTAGGAGAGTTGAGCACCTGTATGAAAGCATCCGCAGTATTCTCGTCTTGTGCTCCTCCCTCGGTCATAGGCACATCAGTCTCCATGCCAACACCAGCCCGTGCCTTAGCAAGGTCTGAGCTTAGCTGCCTCACTCTGGACACAGCCAAATCCCTGAAAATAACCGTTACATGCCACCATCCCTATCCAACATCGCTTCGACTCAGTATTCCACTACTACTACTGGCACTGCTACCTTTCCTTGGCAAGCCTGCATATCACACGACAGGCGGCCTCATGCTGATATAGAGTCTGGGATAGCTGAGCCCTCGTGGTCGTTAAAGACTCTCTCAGTTTATACCTGCGTAAAATGTAATACCTCACGGAGTGGCAAAAGTGCAGTCCTCTTGAGAGTAGTCGATTTCCCTCTACTACGTTTCCAGCATTAGATTGTCCCACTCGTTTTGAAAATCGTGCAGCATCGACGATATGGAGGAGGAGGTCGCGGGACGAGGCGTGACCACCGAGTTAGCTGAGACGACCAGGGAGATCACTCGCGGCGGCGGCGGCAGACGACTAAGTCTCACCGTGAATGGGGTAGAGGTCGGTCTCCTTATCCAGGTCTTGGCCGGTCACTGGACACTTACCGCCATTCTCCGTTAGGGCCTTCTCAATCAGTCGACGGGAGAAGACGTATCCTACAAGGGGAATGGGTTGTTGAGGAATCACCTCAGCTCACCTGTCTTGGACAACACCGGATCATCGGGGACTTCACCGGAGATAGCACAGACGATAGTCATTATAGCTCCTCGATGAAAGAGAAAAGCCTAACTAGGGAGGGCGTGGTAAAGTACCCCGAGTGAAGCTCTAATGGTCAGACACATAGATGGAGTGTAAGTGAGGACACGGTGAGCCTTCCTTGATAAGGAGGGCTCATCGAAAGCCGCTACAGTCGAGGGAAGACGGAAAGGTCCTGGCTTCACATGTCGACCGTCCATGAGGGCCTCGGCGGGTTCCTATCATAGAAGGGGTAAAGCGAATCGCATGCTTTGCTCAATTGTAGTGTACATGCAACTAGCTGTGGCTCTAAACAATCAATAAGGAGGTTCCCACTGCTCATCGGTTACCAGATAGATATGTTCAACTGTAAAGACCAGTGACTCTGGTGTACATGGATGAATAAGACCCGAGTTCGATCCCGGCATGGTACACTTTGCAAACGGTTTTGTCGCTATTTTGCATGTACACGACAGAGCGCACAATGGCAAGAAACGCGTGCTCGCTCCCCACCTGTTTTTACCTGGAGATAACATATCGCCACGAAAGCTTATGAATTTTTTGAATATTTGTTTTTTTATCATGTAACTTGTGCATAACCTCGACCTCTCCACTCGTAATCGGTAGTGCCATGACTTCTCATAGGGCATCGCTTGTGTGTTGTTTACTCGAATCCAGTTATCCTAAGCCACCCTCTCCCACGAGTCGTGACCCACGTTTAATCTCTGCTTGTTCGTGTCCAGTCTATAGTGTGGCCGTTACACTACGTAACTTTTTATCAATAACAAGTTGTCAAGAGCTCTACAGTTAATCGATTCTTACGGTGAAGCCTGCTTCGAGTAAGGCACACACGTTCGCTCGCAACTGTATGTTCTCGACACTGTGCATCTACCGAAAGGCATCTAGAGGTTGCGGCGACTATGTTCGAAATAATTGCTGGTGAATTGCTTATTCCCAAGCTGGCAACTCAGCAGGATATGTTCCGCTGGACTACTATCCAATACCTGTTCACTTTAATTCTATTCCAATCATCCACGGCAACTTCGGACACAACACTTATATTAGACAAACCAGCATCATTTCCAAATGGGCAAGTATCGACAATGCATTCGACGGGACACTAAGCATCTTTCTTCTCATCATCGTGCGTGCCAGCAGCAGCATTATGGGATTTGGCGACCTTCTTCCGATGACTCCGAATTTTCATCATCACTGGGATTATAGCACAGGCGGCCAGTGATACAGCAGCTGCTTTAACATCATCAGATCCCATAGATTGTATAAGAACCTTTAACACGGTCCATGAGTTAGCAGTATTAGGATCATACTTCCCTTACATCAGTCGCAGATACCTTCGTGTTCTGGTCCAGTGTAGCAAGGACGTTTGTCATCGCGCGGCCGGCAGTGGTATAGAGAACAGAACCCGGTATCACTGCGACAGCCGTAGCCGACATGAAAGTGTTGAAGGGCACACCGATGAGAGCTGCGCAACCGTTGACAAACCAAAAGGGGAAAACCTGCCATAGGAACCTCGGCAGAATAAAGCGTCGTGCGGATGCGGTACCAAGGTGTATCGTGCAGCTATTAAATAAACGAATGCATTGTTCTTCAAATTCCTCTCCAACTTCTTGTATGTTCGACTCTCCGTATTGAGTAGCCACTTGGCAAAGTCTGCCAATACTGTTCGGACCAGCAGATATGATACGCAAGCTCCGATGACATACCTGAGATAGAGCCTCCCTGTTGGAACACCACAGCCGGACAACAACATTAGAAGTTTCCCTTCCGAGAGACATCACTGCACGATGAACAGTGTGCATCATGCACATGGGTCAAGATTGTTCAATTTACTTGCAGAAACGTGTGCAATGATGATGCTAATTCCACGGTGCCCAACCTCGATAACCAGACATTCTTCATTCGTTGTCAACACACTCCACGAGACCAAGCCAAATGAGCTGCGTGCGCCTTACCCCATGTATGAAAATATCGCCGCATAAGGCTGGTCGAAAAAAAGTCCACCGGCGAACGAGAGTGTAGTCGCTCCTGGTATTGTTAGCCCAATATCGAGGCACATTGCGAACATGTATATGCACGCTGATAACCAGAAATTCTTCTCCACCTGTGAGCAATGGCAATCATAGTAAGAGCAAGTGCGGATCCTACCTCTGCAGCTATCCAATCCCTGTTAACTTTTATAGAATGTAAACTGAGAAGGTAACCAAATTTGAAGTAGAGGCCTGCAGCCACAGCCAGCATGGCAACCCCTAGGCCAAGACGGACGCGTGAGACCATTGATAACGGGGGAGGCTGGTAACGGTAAAAAGACTCTCGAGAACAACTGTAAAAGATGGTGGGACCAGATGATAGACAACAACACAATAGAATGAATAAGAAAATCATAAGGCACTACTCGGGTCTAAGCCTTGTACGCTCATCCACGTGTTAAACCACTTCTGGTTCAATTTAATACGCAGAGCTTCAGAGATCACTGAGTCCTCTTCGTAGGTCTTAACGTCCATCAATCTGCGCATTACCTGATGACGACGACGACGCATCCATGCCTGCAAAGTGATGATAATTAGTCTGAAAATGCATCGTCACCATCGTGAGAAGAGATTCCACGCATATCGTCAACTTCAATGCAATCCATTCCTCCTTACATTCTCAGCAGCATTGTCCAGTATCCATCGCTTGTGGACCAACACCGCCGCAATGACGAGTCTCAAAGGGTACAGTAGATCACACAGTGGCTTACTCTCCGACCAGAAAGGGTCCTCCCAAGAGGCGACATCAGAGACAACACCGACCCCTCCCAGCTTGGCATTCAAGGCAAGATTAGCCACTGCGAGTTCAATGCTGACGCCATCGGCCCTCAGCCTCCCGGCCAGGCGACCGTCCAACGCCCCAAAGTAGGCTGGCATGCACAGGTCCACCAGACAGCTCAAACGTCGTAAACATCGTCGCCGATGGAGACAGAGCCAATCGGAGGGGATAGCTGCCGAGCCTCCAATGTCCTCTGATGCAACTCGACCAAGAACGTCGGTCGGACGGAAACCAAGCCAGTTCTCAGCTAGGAAAGATTCCCTGTCGGATTCCTTGGTCGGAGTGTTGGAGAGCGACCAAGCGAGAAAACTGGCCCGGAAGGGACGGCCCCTGAGGGCACCATTACGCAGACAGTAGCGTATCATTCTAAAGCCTATAGACTTCCGATCCGTCCTGGAATTGACGAGGACCTCCCTATACAGCGCCTTACAACATAAACCTAGTTTGCCGATCACTTGCAGGTCGCATGCATACTCCACGACTAGGATGAGGACCCTGGTCGGCACCCCAGCCAGGTGGTGACCCTCAATGTTGGAGAGATTGGACGGATCCCTCGAGGGAACTGGAGGAGGGTTATGTTTGAAAGGGTTGGTTACTCGAGCCGCCATGACCTCCGCCACTATAAGGCAGGCCAGATGGCCGACTACTGCCGACGGAAGGTCCCGGACGTAGGGGTCACCCAGCGTGAGCCCTATAGGCCGCATAGACAGTACTCTGCTCAAGGTTCGTCGACTCGTCGTTCGAGACAACGCCACTGATCCTATCGCTGCGATGGAAATCTGCGGCGACAACGTCAAGACACTAGCAGGAGGGTGTGTGGCAGCAACCCTCCATGTGGGCGGAGGGGCGGCCACGTCCAATCCAAGAGGGCCTGGCTCAGAGAAGGCCACATCTCGGACACCGAAGGCCCATGCCCGCCACTCCCGGACGGCCCGCCCCCACAGCCAAGGGATGGATTGCGTGACATCTCGCAAGCCCTCTAGCATGCATGCACTGGGTAGTAACAGTCGAGCTGCCGCACTGGTGACAGCCTCGGCGCTCGAGTCACCATTTGACAGTTCCGTCTGCCCAACCCTCAACTTGTTCAGCTTGGCATGGTTCTCTCTCCTCTGCTGCAACAGTCGTGATAACCCTTCCGCCCTACCGAGGAAGGCTTGCGTGAGGCTGCTAATGATTGGTGACACGGAGTGGATGGTGTCACACGTCACAAAGAAGCCTCCAGTAGCAGCACACAGGTCCTCGACCTCGGCTAAGTGTTCCGTGGTCGGATCAGGCCCTAAGTGCAGGACAGAGACATGTTGCAGGTGTTTGCCCAAGTGCCTCCTGGCTCGACCAGCAATGGTATAGGCAAGCTGATGATTGGTTGAGTCCCCGGCGATAGTGACAATGAGGACCCTCGAGGCAGTGGAAGCCTCTATCTGGCACCACAGAGGGGCCGGAGGAGGGCAGGAGTCCCCACCACTAACGATGAAGTCCTTCACCCTATCAGCGTCGTACCTTACAGATCGACCACGATAGTCTCGAAACCCGTGCATGTGGAGACCTACTCTCCCTTTTTGAATATGAAGGGACTAGCGATCCCCTCCCACCACTGACTGCTGATACTGCACAGTGTCTCATCACAGGTGACATCTTGGAAGACCCCCACCTCGACCTGGTCTGCGGCCTTAGCTACTGGCGTCAACTCCCGAACGGTCTGCACTAGGGCCGTTAGGAAGGAGGAGTACCTGGCCATACCACCTCTATTATGAAAACAATGCTACCCATACGGAGGAGCCAAAGCAGATTACTTCTCCTTAAGACCATTGCTAAACGCCTCGGCCTCATCGTTGCTCCCATACAAGATACTACTGGCGGCCTCTCGAACAGCCATCCGCATGGCCTAAACTAGGCAAGTCCTCCTGGAGCATTGGATCCAGAGGAAGACTCACAAGTGGATTGTCTGGGACGTTGCGTTGAGGCAAGCACTTCATCAGACTAGCCTCCAACTCTACCTCGATTTGCTCGGGCCTAGCTAGCGGTGACTGCAGCCTCCAAGGCGATACTTCTAGCAGGAACAACAGACGGTGATCACTACTAGTCATTGTGAGAAGACCACTTCCCCCGTGAGTTTATCGTCAGAAAAAAAAAACTAACAGGAAGCTGTCAAGTTGACCAACCCGACTCCGAGGGACCAAGAAAACAATTTGATGAGGTACACTGTCAACATCCATAGTAACAAGCCCTCCCAATACTCTCCAATACCTCCTCCACCTTCGGTCTGCCTCCCTTCTAGGCTAGGAGCCTCACAGAACAGCCACTGGAAGGAAAAGCCTGGTCTCCCATTCTGCAGTAAAGCGCCCCTATCACGCAAAGAGCCCGATCCCTATCCAACACAAACCGCATCGTCTCGTCTTAGGTCATCTATAGGATCGACACGATCATTATGATGTAACATGCAAAGAGGCACATTGTAATGAGTCGAAGACCCCGGGACATAGTTGTAGTCCCCTAGGGGTTCAGGACTACTAAGCATAGTAGGGAGCAACTCATATGGACGAAAATCTGAGAAGTTAACATGGAAATGCCAATTCAGCATAGTGGCTGTACTACCTACACCTTATAAAACCATCAGCCATAGCTTCAGTAATGATAGTAGTGCCTAAGCGTCCCGCATCCCCTTCCTCCCCGTGGGCATAGATATGAGTGGGAGGGGAAGGACCCGGTAGCCCAACGAAAGAGAGACGTGCCGCTATGAACTTGGATGCTAGACTGATGAAGTCTGCTAGGTCCTGGCATGCCAATCTACACAAGTCTGAAGGGGCCGAGGGCCTCCGCCGGGAAGTTCCTCGCCTAAAAGGCGAAGACGCCCGCGATCTCAGCAATCTCCCACAGGTTGCTAGTAGTCTCAGACATCACTCACTTCGCCGAGGACAACTCCTACAAAAGGTTCCACACGCCAGTATCAATGGATGACCAGACTAACGCAAGGAGGAAGGCCTAGAAGAAGCAGTAGTAACAATAATGGTAGTAGATGCAAGGTTGTCGCGATGTGGCAGACAAATGGTTGAGAGATACTGCCTTGGCCCATCATGGTCATACAGGCTACGACCTTTAGTTCTAACACACATACGGTGCTACAGTAGCTGAATACGCAGCGGTGCTGGGCAAGTAGAAACAACAACAAGAAGAAGAGGTTAAAAATAAACGGCGAGCTATCAGCGGCGACGGCAGAAGGCTCGAATAACGACCATAAAGATCATCACAAGTGGTAGCCAAAACAATCAACGTCCCAGCCAAGCTGGGGTGACCCCACCACAATGCTCGTATGTCCTCCGACCCTTCTGCCGAGCTGCGAATTCCTCAGGGGTCTCATCGTCCTCAGGTACCACCAACGTCTGTGGATATTGAACCACGCGTGCTCGACCATCCAAGCCGTAATAGACCTCTCCTGCTGTCGTACCCCGACCCTCTATGCTTCCATAATCATCATCCTCGTTATCATCACCAGAGGCAATGTTGAACATATCCTTCATACCATAACTATGCCTATAATAGTATCCTCCTCTTAGACCGGGGGTATACCTCCCACCATAACCCCACGTATTAACCTTATGGTACCCATGAGGGCCACCTACTGACAAGACCTTCGATCCAAAGGCCGAGGCTGCTGATGGGCCCGTATTTGCTCCTCGCACTACAAACCTATCGAACTGCAGCTGTTGTCTAGGGCCGCTCTTACAGCCACCATTAGGACCACACTTACTACCTCTTGCTGACGAGCCTTGCCCCTTCACAGATGCAGTCGGCCCCTCTCCTGGTGATATCAATGTACGCAAGGGATAGCTGCCATTAATAGGCACCCCATAAGCCATAGTGGCATGACCAGCACTATCGAGTTGCTGCTGTTGCTGCGGCTGAGCACTGAGGTCGCTACTCCCAGCGCCTTTCGAACACATACCCCGGAAGCAGACCACGAAGTGAGCCGCTATGACCATTATCGCCATGGAGGTCAGTGTTACAGCAGCCCAGTGCTGCCAGGCACTAAGCCGTTTCTCAGCCAATGTCCCATGCTTCAGAAATTTTAGCCTTGCAGGTTGCAATCTACCCCATGGTATATTCTCCGAGGTCGGCGCAGGAGCAGACTCCCCCATATCCAACATTGATATCGGCTCTCTTTCCTCATTAAGACCCATGCCCAGCATAGGTATCGGCCCTCCTTCCTCATTACGACCCATAGTGACAAAAGGTATCGGCCTCCTCTCGTCAGCTCGGCCCATAGCAGCGAATGGTATAGGTTCTCTTTCGTCAGTTCTACGAGCCTCTTCAGAACGTACAGCAGCCAATGACAGTTCTTGCGTGATGGGTCGTCCTTCAATCAAAGGCCGCGGCATCTGTTGACCTCGGCCAAGGCAGCAGCATAGTGCCAGAAACATAACATTATAACAAGATGGCATTCGCATAACCCGACGACGACCACGATGATGTTGTGACGACATTAAATGTCCAAACACCGACAGAAGTCAGACGAAAGAAACACGAGACTATAAAGCTACCAGAGTGATGATCTCAACGATGCCCTATGAGACTAGTATTAATTACCACACGACTTGAGGGACGAGCACTGGTGAAACCTATACATTATTCTACTACTTTCAATGTCTACAGTAGGATCATAGTAGGAAAACGAATGACAGAATCGTGACAGTTACACTACCAGTATCTACTCAGTAACTTCCTTCGCATAGAAAACGATGACTGCCCTGCCGGGGGCGCCGGTTGCCCTGCGGTTGTTCTTGTCAACTGCAGAGTCCTCAGCGGCATCCCTAACCTCGACCTCACCAGGTAGGCCTAGCTGCTTCTTGATGAGCCCTAAAGAGAACCGAAATAGAATCCCCCTATGGACCGCTGACAATGACCGTACCCTTCTGATCCTCGATCATCCTAGTCTCATCAAAGGGCAACGTGAGGGCCAATGCTGCCTTGCCCTTAGTCTTCACTTCCGTCTGCATGTGGAAGGGGGCGAACTTCATAGCCATACCCTTCTCCTGCTTGGACAACTCCTTGATAAGAGGATGGTCCTTGAAGAAGTTACCCATAAACTTCTTATCGACCTACAACATCAACAACAACACTCATAGCATATCAGTGCCGACTACAGCATCCATACCGGCTCATTGTTCTCATCAAGCTCGACTTCACTAAGGACCTTCAAACACGTCTGCTGGAACGGCTTATACTCCTTCGTAACGTAAATGACAGCATCTGAACACCATCCCACTACAGCTAGACCCTAACACAGCTACCTACCAGTAGGAGGGACCGGTGCAGGGGCCTTCTTCTTAGGTTGCATGTGCTTCTGGAGCTCCAAGCGGAACTCACGAAGATTAGACTGCAGCATATTGTACTGTCGGCCTACAGTATCAAACCAGTATCACCACCATCATCAAGTTCAACGGATGCCACACTCACTGAGGGACTCGTTGAATGGGGCATCAGCAACAGGCCACGACTGCTGGACGACAAGACCCTAAACACATGGCATTACGATCATCGTACTAAGCCGCCTCCCTACTACCTCTTTATGAAGGATATCGCTCCAAATATGTTCGCAGAAGTGGGGGGTGATGGGCACCATGACCAAGGCCTGGACCTCGATGTAACGCCTTAGTAGATGACGATGCATTGAGCCATCAGTGAGCACACGATATTGGTCCCTGCTTCAACCATTGTCCCGACCATCAACTGTTGATGACAGCTATGACTAACCTGAGGTTCTGCATGTCGAACCAACCAGCCTTGAGGGCATCCCTCATCATCATCTTAGAGTACCCAGCATCGGCCTCTTGGATCAGTCTGTTGAGCTCGTTGGCGAAACACTTGTCCACGAATGTATATTCACCTGAAGTTCCATCATCGAACACAGGCAGCCAGTACCAATGGTACTACCATCGCGCTCCTTGGCGAGCTCCTCAGAGCTGGTCATGACCTCAGTGGCCCAATTATCGAAGGTAGTAAGAGACAAAATACTGTCATTAGCCGTCTTCCTCTTGAAGTTAGCATTCTCAAGACCATCGCCTACCATAAAATGAATGACTATCAATGCACCTCCCATTATGCACGCACCAGCATCAGCCAAAGCCAGACGAGTCGCGTCGGCCGAGAACTCCCCGCAGGCCTGGTCCAGCGTGAGGAAGTTACCCCGCGACTTCGACATCTTCTCATCATCCACCATCACATGACCATTGGTGAAGAAGGCTTGAGGCCAAAGGTCCGGACTGCCAAAGCGGTCAAGAGCACCATGATCACAGCTCGAAACACCTACCGGTCTTCCCAGATAGCTGCATGACTGTACAGGCACATAGTCAAGTGATTCGGGATCAGATCCTTACCACTGCACCTCAGACTCATAGGGTACCTATAATATCAAGCATCATCCTAGTGTAAACCAGATCCGTCTGCTCACCAGTAGTTGAACTCTCTCTTCAGCTTATCAAGACTCTCCCGGGAAATGGCACAATCAGCTGGAGGCTCAGAAGCAAGATCAAAGATATAATCGAAAACATCATCAGTTATCTGCTCAGCATCAATGCCGAGAGGATGGTCACCAGAGCCATCAAGGACGCCTACTAACAGACTACCCTGGCCGACCAGACATTGAGGACTCACCTCCCTGCAGTAGATGGGCGATAGTGTAATAAGCCATGTAAATAGTAGAGTCCGACAGACTCTCGATGACCCATCGCTTGTCCCAAGGTAGACGGGTACCGAGGCCGAAATTACGAGAGCATGCCCTGAGATGACGAAGGCCAGTATTAGGACCGAGGTACCTCCTGCACTAGCTACTACTACTACCACTACTACTACTTCATTCATTCATTCCCGCATAGTTCATCTGGACGAACGTGCGAGCTACTAGTCGCATTTACAATCCCCTTCCACAATTTCCGATCCATAGCAGCTTCTCTAATACTATCCCAACGACCCCCCCGCTCTATGAACTCGTACTACTACTACTACTACTACTACTACTACTACTACTACTACCA